TGGATTTTTTCTTTTTTGCTAACAGTAAATTTTCATCTTCTCAAAGCAAATTCACCTTCTCTTTGACAAGATCCAGAAGTGTTACGACAGACGACACGATGTTGGTGAGCGGATGAAATAGATCGCGGGAAATGCACACTCTTGTACATAAAGATAAAATCGAAGTCAGCAGATAAATCCCTTGATTCGACTTTCCGGGCTCAATCGCCTACTTTCACTTTCACTTTCCCCTTTGAGCTGCGACCGGTTAATCGAAAGCCATTTCAAAATGGCCCATTTTGATCAAAAGTCCCGAATCAATTTACTTTTTATTCCCCTCACTGTTTCCCATTTCTCAGCCGCTTCTTGTTGTTGGCTTAATGGTGTTGTGGTTAATTCTACTTCTTTCTTTCTCTATCTTTTATTGTACATTGCTTATGGATAAAGAAAAGTAACAAAACTGAGACGATATGTAGATAAGAAAAGAATAGAGAAAGGAAAGGAGAGGGTGAAGAAAAGAGAAAGAAAATACATAAAATGGCGGTATATTAAAGACAATGAAACGAAGGACGAATGAAGAACAACAAAAGTAATTTATTTATTTATTTACCTTTTTCTTCTTCCTTTTCAAATCTATAGCTAAAGATCTTTCTTAAACATGACGAAATTTCTATTTACTTTCCGTATCATCTTCATACTTATTCTGATTTAAAATTATTGATTTCTTTCATTTGGCTTTCTTTCATTCTTTTCAATTAAGTTTCTCTTTCATCAAGTTCTTCCTCTTTTTTCCAATGAATTTATTAATTTCTCATCATTCTTCTTCAGGGTTTCCTATTTATTCATTTGTTCTTCTTTGCGTTTTCCTCGTATCTACATAAATAAGCAATTTTTCTCCTTTTCTAGCTAGGTATGCTCTTTCTTTTTCTATCTAAGCATGCTCTGTTTTCTTTCCTTTTTTTTCGCCATCTGTTTATCTAAGTACGCTCTTTTCTTTCTTTCATTCTTTATGCTTCTTTCTTTCACTTTTATCTAACCCTTTCTTTTTCCTTCTATTTTTTAAATTTTTTTTCCTTTTATCTATCCAATCATCATCTTTTATTTCTTCTCTTTATCTATCCAATCATCATCTTTTATTTCTTCTCTTTTTATCTATCCCCTTTTCTTTCCATCTTTTTCTTCTATCTATGCTCACTTTCTTTTTCTTCTATTTATCTATCCTCTTACTTTCTTTTTCTTCTATTTATCTATCCTTTTTCATTTCTATCTTTTATTTCTATTCTCTTTTCTTACTTTCCCTACTCTCTATCGAGCGATTATTTCTTTTCCCTCTATCTATCCATCCATAATCTTTTTTCTTTCTTTTATCTAACATTTTTCTGTCTTTTCCTTCTATCTCTCCATCTATGTACTTTTCTTTCTTTCCCTACTATTCTTTCCATCTTCATTTCTTTCTTCTATCTATCTTTCTATCCTCTTTTCTTTATTTCCCTTCTGTCAATCTCTTATTTCTATCTTCTTTTCCTTCCATCCATCTATGTATCTATCTATCTTCTCCTCCTTCCATCTATCTATGTATGTATCTATCTTCTCTTTTTTCCTTCCATCCATCTATGTATCTATCTATCTTCTCTTTTTTCCTTCCATCCATCTATGTATCTTCTCTTTTTTCCTTCCATCCATCTATGTATCTATCTATCTTCTCTTTTTTCCTTCCATCCATCTATGTATCTATCTATCTTCTCTTTTTTCCTTCCATCCATCTATGTATCTATCTATCTTCTCTTTTTTCTTTCCATCTATCTTCTTTCCTCTCATCTATTTCTTTTGTTTACTTTTTCTTAATCTTACCATCTTCGTACTTAATCTACTTTGTCTTTTTCTTGTTTTTATTTTTACTGTTATTGGCTCCTGCCATTTTTTTTGCCCTCTTCCCTAAAATCTAGACGTTTTGCCTTTCTCTGCTTTCTTTTCTTAGCTTCATTCTCTTTTCGTTTTTTTCTTTTTCTTATCTTCCTTCAACCCTTGCGTTCCTTCTGTCTTTTATTTTGCGTTTAATAGTTCTTTTCTTTATCTTATTCCTTCATTCATTCTTGTTCCTTTCCTTCTTCCATATTTAATCCTTCTCTTCTTTATTTCGTTTCTTTCTTGTCTTGTTCTTTTTGTCCTTTTTTCTAATTCTTTTTCCTTTTTTTTGTGTATCCATCCATTAATTTTTCTCTTTTCTCCTTTTTCTTCATTCTCTCATTTCTTGCTTCATTATTTTTTGTTCTCTCTTGCTTTTATTCTTTACTTTCTTTTCTTGCCTCGATTCTCATTTTCTTTTTTTTCCTTCCTTCCACTTCTCTCTCTTACATACTTTACCTCCTCGTTTTTTTTCTCTCTCTCTCTCTTATCTATAGATTTTTCCTTCTCTCTTCAGCTGATATCATTCTATGCTTTTCTATGTCCTTTTTCTTCTTCATTTTCTTTTCATCATCTCTTTTACAGGCCAGCCATCAAACCTCTCTCTCCTTATTAAACACAACATTTCTGGACACATATTCTGTACTCAGAGGAAACAAGAAGAGATCACCGCTGCCCTATCGGGCAAAACAACTTAGTGATCAGCGCTAATTGCCTTATCTTTCAGACGAACCAAATCTTTAAATTGAAAAGTGCTACGGCCGGTCTGTGTCCAAGCGGATGTCCTGTGGCCACCGACAGGAGGACGCCCTGTTCTATAAGGCCAAAAAAAAAAAAAAAAAAAAAAACTAACTGGACATTGGCTACTGCTTTAAGGAACAGACAGCCATCAGTGCCTACTCTTGTTGTTGATTTAGAACTTTCCGGTGTGGTTCAGTGGTTAGAGATGAGGACTCAGAAACGAGCTAAGATCTTATTAAATAAATGGATAATAAAAGTTAAGAAGTTAGCGTCAGCATTTAAAGACTATCAGGTACTCCTTTCCTTCCTTTATTTTGATACCGTGTAGCTGTGTGACATACTACCACCATCAGGAGGTGAGTAAATAACACGTTCCATTTGGGATCAAAGTATAGTATCTGTTATACTTCTATCTACTGTGTTTCTGCCTTCGGGCAACTCATGGGAAAGCTTTGAGGAATACTTGTTTCTGGGGATTCCAAACCAGTGCCAGTACCTCCTTCACTGCACTAAAGACAAGGGATTATTACAACGACGTCAACACGGCAGCGGGGACAGGGCGTTTTTTTACCTTTGTCCCATATGTATGGTATCGTGCACGGAAAATTCCCAGTTGGAAAATTGCCAGTGGGGAAGTGCTTTAGAACAAATTCAGAAAAACGGAATTAGGTTTTATTAATGAAATCCTTAAAAATTAAACGAAAAGATTTATTGGTCAACATTTCATATATAAAAACATTCAGAAAAACGAAATGAAAAAATATACAAAAATATATACAAAAATGAAAGAAATATATACAAATAGTATAAAAATAAAAAAATATAAAAATAAAATTATGAAAAATATGAAAAATATAAAAACAAGAATAAAAATATATAAAAACAAGAATAAAAATATATAAAAACAAGAATATTCTTGATTTTCTTTAATTTTTAACAGTGCTAAATGAAAATTTTAGTTTTGAGGAAAGTGTTATTATTTTTCGGATTCAAAGGAACAAAACAAATGAGCTAACATCTACTGTTTTAAAAATAAAGGTACCTCCATAACAAAAACGTTATCTTGCCGGTAGGCGAGTTGATGCTTACCGCTCCTTCGTACTAACTTACGACTTATATTAAGTGGAGAAATTGTTGTTTTGGTTCGTAAAAGCAATTATAAAAACGAGAAGTGGATAATACTACTAATAAACTCGTCATTTAGGTTTGACGTCAAATAATAAAATGAGCACTAATAAAAAGAAAACTGAATGTTTTTTAACTTAAATTATCTTCATTTAGATTAGATTCTTTGGGCTAAATCTTTTAATTTGTCAATGGCAATATTCCGCACTGGCAATTTTCTCAATGGGATTTTTCCTAGAACCGTATGGCATCCCTCATAAAACTGATATTTGATATTTTTGTTATCTCCTACTCACAAATTTTGTCCACTGGCGAAAGTTAAGATTAAGTTTTATCGAGCTATTGGTATTTATTTTCATTTCAGTAAGTTTCGTGAAATTCCCAAATTTAAATGTCTTATCGGTTAATCTCATGAATTCACTAAAAAAAATGAAACAATGGATAAGTGAACACATTTAATTTGTCATTTAAGCATTAATAATAATATATATATATATATATATATATATATATATATATATATAAAACGAGAAATAAATAAAAAACAGAAAAAAGTCTTTCCAAGCTAATATATATATATATATATATATATATATTTTCAAGAAAGCGGACTCTTCTAAATGCCCTCCAAAGTCATGTCTGTGATACCGGAAATAACATTGTTACATCAATCACACACAAAATCAAAAGAGAGAAGGAAAAGGAATAAAGAGAGAATATAAGGAAACAAGAAAAAGAAGAAAAGGAGAAATAACCACAATATTCGACACGTACGCACATACACACAGGCAAGCACGTACGCACACACACATTTAAAGAAAAAAGTCAACCTCACACCGATAAATAACGTATAAATTAATTTTAATATAGTATAAAAATAACAAAAATCAGAAAATCAACAATCAATTGCCGAAACCTCCTGACGATTGGACGGAACGATTACAAAAAGTTCGTTTACAAAACTCTGGAGTCGGGGTACTGAATGTAACATCAATCTGCTAAGTGACAAATGTTATATTTGCGTTAAATATAATATATATATATATATATATATATACTATTAATAATCTGGGTCAACGTATTTAAACATATTTATTTTTATGCCTACATGTAACCATCAATTCATTTCTCTTGTTTAGTAAACTCAGTTCATTTAAGTGTTTTGAAATAAACTATTTTTTCAACAAGACCCAAGTTACATTTATTTCCTTTATAAGATTTGGCTTTTGGTATAATATCCCAGTTAATAGACGTAGCACTACTGATATTATTGAATTGCCAGAGAGAACAGTGCTGTTTCTGTATTTTTTATTACCTAAAGTCATTCGATGATGGTAGAAACGAAAATTTTCAAGAATTTTCAGTCGATCCAAAATAAAATTTAACATCGTTACCCGAATGTATACCCGCTCGGTATACAATATTATCGTTCATGCATTGACCATTTAAGGGACAGATGATATTTGTTTCCGCAGTTGCATTTATGTTTTAGAAAAATTACGTTGTCTTTGTTGGAAATATATTTATTTAATATAATATGATGGGAAATGGATTAGTCTATGTTATTAACGCAGCTATAGCTAATCTTAATATTATTTTTGTTAAAAATCTTTTTTTAGTGTTGGTGAATAGTTAAAGTGCTTATTAACTAAATTTTGGAAAATTCTTCTGAGATTAGTATGGAAATTACAGTTAAAAGAGGGATTAAACCATATGATGTTGCACTTAACCGCGTTTCTATTTATTTTTACCTTCTTTGTTTTGTTTTCTAAATAGTCTAAATTTACTTTAGGATTGCTCAGTTCTAAAGCCTTTATATATTCAATTTTATTATTATCAAATATTTCCTTATTGCTTGAGTTTGGTGGATAATCTAATTTGGACCGATTTATTATCTAGAATTTTATGATGGTGTTTTGTTTCTTTGCTAACATATCTATGGTTATATATTTATAATAACCATTATTCAGGTCTAAGGTTACACCGAGAAAGTTCATCAATTTAGCATTGGTAGTGGTAATATTTAGTTCTTGATCTTTAAAAAAAATATCAGCTCCTTTTTGAATCGGTCTACATTTCGTTGGCTAGTCTTACGGCGGAGAATTACACAGTTATCTCTATAGGGTCTGGTGCCCTTGATGTCGAAAATAAATCTATGTCGCCACAATAATATAATTCCAGCAAGTTCGCACACCTCCGCTGAATCATACGTTCTCATAGCAATATTAAATTCTGAGTTACTTCTTTTAGTCCACAGGTAACAATTATGGAAAAGTATAGATTTTTGTGCCAGCTTTATATTTATTTCGCGATCGCTAATAGGACAGTAGTTTATTGCTAGGTTTATAGCTGGCATTAGCAGATTCTCGGTGATGAACGGGTAAAAGTCACAAATATCGAATTGGATGAATATATATTTTTCCATTTTATATTGGTAAACTATTCTATAGCTTTATAGTTTTGTATCACTGGTTAATTCCGAGATCATTTTCTTGTGTATTTGCATGCTTTTTCAAGGATATTTTTACCGAATTTTAGATGAGTTGAGTAATAGATATTGAGGGTTGTTTAGAAAATTTGATCCCTGTGTCTTTTTTATTTTCATGGTAATTTTTCGGATTATCTCTTAGCTATGGTACCTGGACTCTTTGGATTGAAGCAGAGTACTAGACTGGCAATGAGGATTAATCAATTTACACTTGAACTATCTAGATGTAACCGTAAATTCTATGCTAACAGTTTATTTTCTAGCACTTCGCACTTGCGTCTATCACTCAGTATAGCCTCAGTACTAGCGGGGAAATCCAATGTCGGTACACCAGATGAGTCGTGTGTTGGGTTGGAAGAGAATTTCCGAGCAAAGCATTTCACCTTATCTGCTGTAGACATCAGGACATCGATTAAATTGAATAGTAGAGGGATGGGTGCTGTTGTTCAGCACACTCTAGCAGAGCCGCCAGTAATCTCTAGAAACGAATCTGCGAGATGCTATGCATTGTTTCATTCTATCAGCCAACAGTAACTTCGCTTCATTGAGAACACGTTTGAACTCGTTATGAGCAGAGACAGAGAGACGTCTGTTGTAATCAGACGTGTCGCTCTGCTCCAGATGGAAGTGAGCTATAGTGGCTGAACATGCAGGTGAGAACCAAGGAGATGAACGCGGTTTAACTTGGTATTTCCTTGTTGGAATGAAAACATCGATGCCGGCTTTCAGCCAGGAGATATCAAACACGCATTTTTGAACAGAATGATTAAAAATTTCTTTCCATGGGACGTCATGAAGGAAATCCCGGAACGAGTTCGAATCTGCTCGTTGATAACAGAAGGATATTCTGTTGGTAGGAGATTCTTGGCTGATGGCGGAACGGAAGGAGGTGTTAACAGACAGTACCGCATGATCAGAGTTGCCAAGAGGACAGAGCTGCGTAGTTTGACAAGAGTCAGGGATAGTTTGTTTTGTTTTACGGTGTATAAATATCAATGGATTATTTAATGCCGACAAAATTTTTATTGCTGGTAATATTTCCTTTTTAACAAAATTATATTGCAGGTATTAAAACCTATTTTTAGACTTCATAGTGTTTTGACCCGAGTTTTGGGGTTAATTATTTGTCCATAATTGGGACCCTAACAGGTGCTACCACCCCGGGTCAGAGTGGACCTTGGAACACCAGCAATTAAGAAGTGGTTCTACGTTCCTCAAAACCTCCTGATCATTGGCCTTGCTGCTGAATGTAGCTTATTGTC